TCAATTCAGGGCCATGGGTGAGCAGTCCCCACATATTAGGAGTTTGGGTCTTGACAGTACCAACCCATAAAGTGGCCGAGACACATCCAGTCAGCAAGTGGGCAGGCAAATTGCAGATTGTGGGCGGGGTTAACATTGTCCCAGGGACTGGGAAAATAATGTCGGTAAGTATGCGCCAAGCCACTGCAGTAGTGTTGTCAACCTTGTGCTTCTTCAGTTGGCCATACCAGGATTATCATGTAGGCATCCCAATGGCCAACTGGAAGTTTGACTTTAAGAAGAGATCCACCCTTCCTCCAATGAGAACAATGGATCTCTTCAGGTTTAGGGTGATGTCAATTCATGCAAAAATCTTTGGTGAAGAAAAAGTCCTTGGAAATGTTCCATGTGTGTGTCCATTCTCCTGTATTGGCCCTCTAGAAAAGATTTATGAAAAGGATACAATGTTTCACATGGTTAAAATACAAAACACAGTAACAGATCAGAATCTATCAGAGATGATTTTCGGCTTACACGTTTGGCTTTGTCGAAGTTCCTCAGTTGGCCATTGGGCCATACCGGGATTATCATGTAGGCATCCCAATGGCCATCTTGAAAGTTGACTTTAAGAAGAGATCCAGTCTTCCTCCCTTGAGAACAATGGATCTCTTCAGGTTTAGGGTGATGTCAATTCACGCAAAAAACTTTTGGTGAAGAAAAAGTCTTTGGAAATGTTCCATGTGTGTTCATTCTTCTGTATTGGCCCTCTAGAAAAGTTTTATAAAATGGATACAATGTTTCCCATGGTTAAAAAACAAAACACAGTAACAGATCAGAATCTATCAGAGATGATTTTGGGCTTACGTGGTTGGCTTTATCGAAGTTCTTCAGTTGGCCATTGCGCCATACCAGGATTTATCATGTAGGCATCCCAAAAACCAGCTTGAAAGATCCCCTTAAGAAGAGATCCACCTTTCCTCCCATGAGAACAATGGATCTCTTCAGGTTTAGGGTGATGTCAATTCACGGGAAAATCTTTGGTGAAGGATAAGTCTTTGGAAACGTTCCATGTGTGTGTCCATTCTCCTGTATTGGCCCTCTAGAAAAGATTTATAAAAAGGATACAATGTTTCTCATGGTTACAAAACAAAACAAAACACATTAACAGATCAGAATCTATCAGAGATAATTTTGGGCTTACGTGGTTGGCTTTATCGAAGTTCTTCAGTTGGCCATTGGGCCATACCAGGATTTATCATGTAGGCATCCCAATGGCCAACTGGAAGTTTGACTTTAAGAAGAGATCCACCCTTCCTCCAATAAGAACATTGGATCTCTTCAGGTTTAGGGTGATGTCAATTTGCGCGAAAACCTTTGGTGAAGAAAAAGTCTTTGGAAATGTTCCATGTGTGTGTCTATTCTTCTGTATTGGCCCTCTAGAAACGTTTTATAAAAAGGATACAATGTTTCCCATGGTTAAAAAACAAAACACAGTAACAGATCAGAATCTATCAGAGATGATTTTGGGCTTACGTGGTTGGCTTTATCGAAGTTCTTCAGTTGGCCATTGAGCCATACCAGGATTATCATGTAGGCATTCCAAAGACCAGCTTGAAGGATCCCCTTAAGAAGAGATCCACCCTTCCTCCCATGAGAACAATGGATCTCTTCAGGTTTAGGGTGATGTCAATTGGTTGGCTTTATCGAAGTTCTTCAGTTGGCCATTGGGCCATACCAGGATTTATCATGTAGGCATCCCAATGGCCAACTGGAAGGTTGACTTTAAGAAGAGATCCACTCTTCCTCCAATGAGAACAATGGATCTCTTCAGGTTTAGGTTGATGTCAATTCACACGAAACACTTTTGGTGAAGAAAAAGCCTTTGGAAATGTTCCATGTGTGTGTCCATTCTTCTGTATTGGCCCTCTAGAAAAGTTTTATAAAAAGGATACAATGTTTCCCATAGTTAAAAAACAAAACAAACTAACAGATCAGAATCTATCAGAGATGATTTTGGGCTTTATCGAAGTTCTTCAGTTGGCCATTGGGCCATACCGGGATTATCATGTCGGCATCCCAAAGACCAGCTTGAAGGATCCCCTTAAGAAGAGATCCACCCTTCCTCCCATGAGAACAATGGTTTAGGGTGATGTCAATTCACGGGAAAATCTTTGGTGAAGGATAAGTCTTTGGAAATGTTCCACGTGTGTGTCCTTTCTCCTGTATTGGCCCTCTAGAAAAGTTTTATAAAAAAGGATACAATGTTTCTCATGGTTACAAAACAAAACAAACCACAGTAACAGATCAGAATCTATCAGAGATGATTTTGGGCTTACATGGTTAGCTTTATCAAAGTTTTTCAGTTGGCCATTGGGCCATACTGGGATTATCATGTAGGCATCCCAATGGCCAACTTGAAGGTTGACTTTAAGAAGAGCTCCACCCTTCCTCCAATGAGAACAGTGGATCTCTTCAGGTTTAGGGTGATGTCAATTCACGGGAAAATCTTTGGTGAAGAAAAAGTCTTTGGAAACATTCCATGTGTGTGTCCATTCTCCTGTATTGGCCCTCTACAAAAGTTTTATAAAAAGAATACAATGTTTCCCATGGGAATATCCATTCTCTGATCTCCTCTGCCATGAATGGACCTGGAGGCAACAAGTATTTCATCACTTCCAGGTTCAGAGCTGTCATTTCTCAGCTTCCGCACCCAGGGAATCAGCTAATCAAGTGCCATATGTGCTTGATTAGCTGTAGAGGAGGACAGGGAGACAATAGGGGTTTACGTGGGGCTTTCGTGGTTGGCTCTAACGGAGTTCTTGTTTATTGGCGGCCCAGTTTGATTTATGCCGGTTAATTCTCTACCTGTAGAACCGTCCTTCCCATCCTTCTAACCATCTTCCCATCTCCGCAGGGCTGGACGACTGCTTGCAGCAATACATCAAAAACTTTGAGCGGGAGAAGATCAACGGGGAGCAGCTACTACACATCACCCACCAGGAGCTGGAGGAGCTCGGCGTCACCCGGATCGGCCATCAGGAACTGATACTGGAGGCCGTGGACCTGCTGTGCGCCCTGGTGAGCACTCATCTGTTGTCCCATGTCTTAAATTGTGAAGGGCACCTGGCCAAATTCCTGTGTGAGAATCTGCAGGTAGAAGCTGCCATTCACTAAACCTTCGGCTCTATAGTCATTTCTAGGCTTGGCTGAAAATATGTTAGTGGCCCAGAGCTACTGGAGCCCTGAAATGTGAGTCCATCTGATGCTTCACACACAGGTATTTGACTATGTCCCTTTAGAAGACTTCATGCAGATATGTGTACGTATATATATATGTGTGTGTGTACAATCTAGTATTTATCTGGACCAGGGGTCTCCAAACTCTCCAAACAAGTGCCCCATCATTGGTGTCAGTGGGAGGAATAGTGCCCCATCATTGGTGTCAGTGGGAGGAATAGTGCCCCATCATTGGTGTCAGTGGGAGGAATAGTGCCCCATCATTGGTATCAGTGGGAGGAATAGTGCCCCATCATTGGTGTCAGTGGGAGGAATAGTGCCCCATCATTGGTGTCAGTGGGAGGAATAGTGCCCAATCATTGGTGTCAGTGGGAGGAATAGTGCCCATCATTGGTGTCAGTGGGAAGAACTGTGCCCCATCATTGGTGTCAGTGGGAGGAATAGTGCACCATCACTAGTGTCAGTGGGAAGAATAGTGCCCCATTATTGGTGTCAATGGGAGGAATAGTGCCCCATCATTGGTGTCATTGGGAGGAATTGTGCCCCATCATTGGTGTCATTGGGAGGAATTGTGCCCCATCATTGGTGTCATTGGGAGAAATTGTGCCCCATAATTGGTGTCATTGGGAGGAATTGTGCCCCATCATTGGTGTCATTGGGAGGAATTGTGTCTCATCATTGGTGTCATTGGGAGGAATTGTTCCTCATCATTGGTGTCATTGGGAGGAATTGTGCACCTTTAGGGCTGGGACAAGAGGTGGGCAGAAGGGGCAGCTTCCCTGGATGCAATGGTTTACTCTAGGGATGGGGGGGCCTCCCTTTTGTTACAATGCTGACAGGAATAGTGACAGTGGCAGTGATTTTTGACAAGTGATTGACTGCTGATGTCATTGGGAAGAATTGTGCCCCATCATTGGTGTCAGTGGGAGGAATTGTTCCCCATCATTGGTGTCATTGGGAGGAATTGTGCCCCATCATTGTTGTCATTGGGAGGAATTGTGCCCCATCATTGGTGTCATTGGGCCGCATCATTGGTGTCACTGGGAGGAACAATGCCCCATTGTTGGTGTCATTGGGAGGAATTAAGCTCTTCATTGGTGTCAGTGAATTCAATAATGCCCCAAGGGCCGGATAAAAGTATCCAAAGGGCCGCAGTGTGGAGATCACTGACTTAAACAAATATGAAAATCCTTCCAATAACATGATTGGAGGACGCCGTAAAGCTGTGTGTGGTGTTTGGCGGCACAGTGCGACGTTCACCGACAGCCTCCTCGATGGCGTGCTCCGGCAGGGCAGATCTGGCTGTAGAATTGTTTTTCTCTTGTACTTAGTTTGGTTTATGTGCAGCAGCTGCACCACAATCTGGTTTATGTTAGTTTGAGGAAAAGCCGTTTATTTTTTTAGTTAGGTTTGGAATGGCGCGCGCTTTTTCATTGACTGGTAATAGGCCGAGGAAGAGAAATTGGCCAGTAAGTCGCTGTTCTTCGGAATGAGAAACTGTCCTGCTGCTGGCCAATCTCTGTGATTAAGAATGAAGAGACCACAGATGATACAGAAGTGTATAATAGAACAGCAGCTGGGGATTGTAATGAGCAAAGCTGGGCCCAAATGTACTGGAGACAAAGAGCGCAGATTGGGGCTCTACTACTACAATTCATGTACTGCAGAGGATACGGAACTTCAGCATTGGCCAGCGGCAGGAGAGTTTTATGTAGGAGATGAAAGATCCAAATTACACCGGCGATCCCCCCTCCAGTCCATCATAAATACTGCTGCCAGGCTCATCCACCTTACCAACCGATCAGTGTCCTCCACCCCTCTCTGCCAATCCCTCCACTGGCCTCCATTCAGTGTCTTTCATCCCTCTCTGCCAATCCCTCCACTGACCTCCATTTAGTGTTCTCCATTCAGTGTCCTTCCTCCACCCCTCTCTGCCAATTCCTCCATTGGCCTCAATTCTATGTCCTCCACCCCTCTCTGCCAATCCCTCCACTAGGCTTCCATTCAGTGTCCTCCACCCCTCTCTGCCAATCCCTCATTTGGCCTCAATTCTATGTCCTCCACCCCTCTCTGCCAATCCCTCCACTGGCCTCTATTCAGTGTCCTTCCTCCACCCCTCTCTGCCAATCCCTCCACTGGTCTCCATTCAGTGTCCTCCACCCCTTTGCCAATCCCTCCATTGGTCTCCATTCAGTGTCCTCCACCCCTCTGCCAATCCACCCATGGCCTCCATTCAGTGTCCTCCACCCCTCTCTGCCAATCCCTCCACTGTCCTTCATTTAGTGTCCTCTACCCCTCTCTGCCAATCCCTCCACTGTCCTCCATTCACTGTCCTTCATTCCTCTCTGCCAATCCCTCCACTGGCTTCCATTCAGTGTGCTCCACCCCTCTCTACCAATCTCTCCAATGGTATCCATACAGTGTCCTCCACCCCTCTCTGCCAATCCCTCCACTGGCCTCCAATCAGTGTCCTCCACCCCTTTGCCAATCCCTCCACTGGCCTCCATTCAGTGTCCTCCAAAATACTAACAACAACTTACAAAGCCATCCACAACTCGACCCCCGGCTACATCACCAACCTGGTTTCAAAATATCAACCATATCGCTCTTTTCGATCCTCCCAAGACCTTGAAGAGCAAAGGCAGATGTTTTACTAAGGAGCAAGGCTGGGCCCAAATGTACTGGAGACAAGAGCACAGGCTGGGGCTTCATTACAACAGAAGTTTAAAATTGGACAGCAGCAGAAGAGTTTTATGTAGGAGATAATAGATCCAAATGAAGAGCAAAGGCAGATGTTTTAATAAGGAGCAAGGCTGGGCCCAAATGTACTGGAGGCAAGAGCACAGGCTGGGGCTTCATTACAACAATTAAAATACTGCAGGGTGGAAATTTAAAACTGGGCAGCAGCAGCAGGAGAGTTTTATGTAGGAGATCCAAGTTTACAAGAGACTAAGAGCAAGAATTAAGAGACCACAGAGGGTACAGCAGTATAACATCTGCCAGCAGCTGGACAGTTTTAAGGAGCAAGACTGGGCCCAAATGTACAAGAGACAAGAGCACAGGCTGGGGCTTCATTACAACAATTAAGATACTGTGGAGGAGAAGTTTAAAACTGGGCAGCAGCAGGAGAGTTTCATGTAGGAGATAAAAGATCCAAATTTACGAGAGACTAAGAGTATAGGTAGATGTTTTACTACAGCAATTAAAATACTTCAGAAGATACAGAAGTGTAAAGTGGACCAGCAGCTGGAGAGTTTTATGTAAGAGATAAAAGATCCAAATTTACGAGAGACTAAGAGCAAGAATTAAGAGACCACAGAGGGTACAGCAGTATAACATCTTCCAGCAGCTGGAGAGTTTTAAGGAGCAAGGCTGGGTCCAAATGTACAAGAGACAAAGAGCACTGGCTGGGGCTTCATTACAATAGAAGTTTAAAATTGGGCAGCAGCAGGAGAATTTTATGTAGGAGATAAAAGATCCAAATGTACTAGAGACTAAAAGCAAAGGCAGATGTTTTACTGCAGCAATTAAAACACTGAAGATTATACAGAAGTGTAAAATGGACCAGCAGCTGGAGAGTTTTAAGGAGCAAGGCTGGGTCCAAATGTACAAGAGACAAGAGCACAGGCTAGGGCTTCATTACAACAATTAAGATGCTGCAGAGGAGAAGTTTAAAACTGGGCAGTAGCAGCAGGAGAGTTTTATGTAAGAGATAAAAGATCCAAATTTACGAGAGACTAAGAGCAAGAATTAAAAGACCACAGAGGGTACAGCAGTATGACATCTGCCAGCAGCTGGACAGTTTTAAGGAGCAAGACTGGGCCCAAATGTACAAGAGACAAGAGCACAGGCAGGGGCTTCATTACAACAGAAGTTTAAAATTGGACAGCAGCAGAAGAGTTTTATGTAGGAGATAAAAGATCCAAATGAAGAGCAAAGGCAGATGTTTTACTAAGGAGCAAGGCTGGGCCCAAATTTACTGGAGACAAAGAGCACAGGCTGGGGCTTCATTACAACAATTAGGATATTGCAGAGAAGAAGTTTAAAATTGGGCAGCAGCAGGAAAGTTTTATGTAGGAGATCAAAGATCCAAATTTACGAGAGACTAAGAGCAAGAATTAAGAGACCACGGAGGGTACAGCAGTATAACATCTGCCAGCAGCTGGACAGTTTTAAGGAACAAGGCTGGGCCCAAATGTGCAAGAGACAAGAGCACAGGCTGGGGCTTCATTACAACAATTAAGATACTGCAGAGGAGAAGTTTCAAATTGGGCAGCAGCAGAAGCGTTTTATGTAAGAGATAAAAGATCCAAATTTACGAGAGACTAAGAGCAAGAATTAAGAGACCACAGAGGGTACAGCAGTATAACATCTGCCAACAGCCGGAGAGTTTTAAGGAGCAAGGCTGGGCCCAAATGTACAAGAGACAAGAGCACAGGCTGGGGCTTCATTACAACAGAAGTTTAAAATTGTGCAGCAGCAGGAGAGTTTTATGTAGGAGATAAAAGATCCAAATTTACACGAGACTAAGAGCAAAGGCAAATGTTTTACTGCAGCAATTAAAACACTGAAGAAGATACAGAAGTGTAAAATGGACCAGCAGCTGGAGTGTTTTAAGGAGCAAGGCTGGGCCCAAATGTACTAGAGACAAGAAGCACAGGCTGGGGCTGCATTACGCTGAGGATGCAGAAGTGTACGACTGCCCAGTAGCAGGTGAGTTTTAATCAGGGATAATAGGCCTAATTAGTGCATTCCTAACTTTTTGTTCATCTATTGTTACGGGAGGGTGCGGTGAATGTGAGTTATATAATGTGAGGTGGTTTAGGTGAGCATTGTTCTTAAACTGAGGGTCCACTTATACTGGGACTGTGAACCGGTCCTGGGCATGCAACTAATCTGAATCAAAAACAAGTCTCCGGAATAGCAATGTTATCTCTGCAAGGAGGAATGATTCGCGGGATCTTTCCTATATCTGCTCTTGCTACATTGTTTAAGCCCCGATGATGAGTCCTTCAGGGGGACTCTTTGCTCCGAAATGCGTCGGTTGCCTTTTTTATTCCAGTTGTTAGCTTGTGGTATTATTAAATGACTTTGGATTCTCGAGCCAATCACGTGGCACCCTTTTTCACTCTTTTTCACTCGGATTTCTCAATTAGGATGACCCCCATTTCTTGAGGGGGGAGGGGTCCCCTGCTTTGTACAGCGTTGCCGAAACCTAAACCATTGGGAACAATCAGTGACTTCTTTTAAGTGGATGAAGGTCTGTATCCATTGCCTCCATCCTACCTCCCCTTGGATATAGTCCATTCCTGGAAATGCCGGTTTTCTGGCTGCCATGATGCCAGGTGTCACTGACTCTGCAGCAGAATGCAGATAAAGACTTCACATCCACCTGATTGCTTCCAGGAGGCCAGAAAATCAGCATGGCAGCCCGACAGCTGGCATTTTCAGATGTGCTCCTCCCATGACAGGTCCCCCAGCTCTGCCATGAGATTTGTTTTTCCCGGCATTTATAACCAATATTAAGATTTGCGTTCGTCTTCCTCCCAGCGATTGTTCTTCGACTTTTCCCCATACAATGTCTAATCTTTTTTTAATGCACATGGCAGATGGCGGGGGAGCGAGGCTTGGAGATGACGACAAAGGAAGCAATTGAATGATTATCCTCTCCGCCGAGCTATCTTGGTCCTGACAGCCTCGTGTTTCAGTGCCGCTGAGCGCGCCCAGTGACACCGCAGCCTGATATTTATAGGGGAGAGATGGAGGTAATCTGGGCGGTCATCTTCAGGAATGGGAAGAGCAAAGAATGAGACGGGAAACAATACAAAATAGTATATTATTATATACTATACGGTATATATTACAGGAGTGACATCACCGCTCTCCAGATATAAGATATATTATACAGAGTGACATCACCACTCTCCAGATATAAGATATATTATACAGAGTGACATCACCGCCCTCCGGATATAAGATATATTATACAGAGTGACATCACCGCCCTCCAGATATAAGATATATTATACAGGAGTGACATCACCGCCCTCCGGATATAAGATATATTATACAGAGTGACATCACCGCCCTCCGGATATAAGATATATTATACAGAGTGACATCACCGCCCTCCGGATATAAGATATATTATACAGGAGTGACATCACCGCCCTCCGGATATAAGATATATTATACAGGAGTGACATCACCGCCCTCCGGATATAAGATATATTATACAGAGTGACATCACCGCCCTCCAGATATAATATATATTATACAGAGTGACATCACCGCTCTCCAGATATAAGATATATTATACAGAGTGACATCACCGCCCTCCGGATATAAGATATATTATACAGGAGTGACATCACCGCCCTCCAGATATAAGATATATTATACAGGAGTGACATCACCGCCCTCCAGATATAAGATATATTATACAGGAGTGACATCACCGCCCTCCGGATATAAGATATATTATACAGAGTGACATCACCGCTCTCCAGATATAAGATATATTATACAGAGTGACATCACCGCCCTCCAGATATAAGATATATTATACAGAGTGACATCACCGCCCTCCGGATATAAGATATATTATACAGAGTGACATCACCGCTCTCCAGATATAAGATATATTACACAGAGTGACATCACCGCCCTCCAGATATAAGATATATTATACAGGAGTGACATCACCGCCCTCCAGATATAAGATATATTATACAGAGTGACATCACCGCCCTCCAGATATAAGATATATTATACAGAGTGACATCACCGCCCTCCAGATATAAGATATATTATACAGAGTGACATCACCGCCCTCCAGATATAAGATATATTATACAGGAGTGACATCACCGCCCTCCGGATATAAGATATATTATACAGAGTGACATCACCGCCCTCCAGATATAAGATATATTATACAGAGTGACATCACCGCCCTCCAGATATAAGATATATTATACAGAGTGACATCACCGCCCTCCAGATATAAGATATATTATACAGAGTGACATCACCGCCCTCCAGATATAAGATATATTATACAGGAGTGACATCACCGCTCTCCGGATATAAGATATATTATACAGAGTGACATCACCGCCCTCCAGATATAAGATATATTATACAGAGTGACATCACCGCCCTCCAGATATAAGATATATTATACAGGAGTGACATCACCGCCCTCCAGATATAAGATATATCACGTGTACTTATAAAAAAAAATTGCAGAGCTATTCATCATGTGAAACTACATGTACATTCCTTCTTTGTGAGATGTTATGAGGCCATTTTCTCTTCAGGAATCAGGAAAATACCGCATTGTAGCCACTAGATGGAGATGATGATTGTAATGGGAAAAAAACATTTATTTATGCTCATGAGCTCCATCAAGTGGCACAGAAATAGAGTGAATCAGGAAAATACCACATTATGGCCACTAGAGGGAGCTGATGATCATAGTGGGAGACAAAACATTTATATATCTGCATCAGCTCCATCTAGTGGCAGAAGAATAGAGTGAATCAGGAAAATACCACATTATGGCCCCTAGTTGGAGCTGATGATCACAGTGGGAAACAAAACATTTATGTATGCTCATCAGCTCCATCTAGTGGCCGTAATGTGATATTTTCCTGATGTACTCTATTCTTATGAATGGATAACATTCGGTTTTGCTGATTTGCGCGCAGAAGGAATGGCTGTAATAATTATACGCACCCCCCTTTCACAGGAGTGACCTCACCGCTCTCCATTTTGTTTGGCAATGCTTTCACTACTGAGGAGAGGCGACGGACCGTCCATCATTCTATATCCTTTCTTGTCGCCGTCATTTCCGCTCGCCTGCCGAGAGCGCGGCGTTCCTCTGAAGTGAATTTCGGTGCTTCACATACAGCGATCATTAGGTCTCGCCTTCTCATCAGTCGGCTCCTCGGTATCGGAGGCCCTCCGACGCCGCGCCTCTGAGCGCCGTGTAGGCAGCCAAGGTCTTTGGGGACGGGAACGCGAATCTCGTCCTGCGCTATTTATAGAACGCTGCGCTTGCAGGTTTATTTATAGAATAATATCACAGACATGCAATGTAGCCGCCTTTAGGATGTACATTATACCGCGAACGTTCCAGGGGAGGAAATGGAAGGCCCCGCGCCGGGATTAGACCCTCGCCGGTCAGGATGGAGATTGCGCTTAGAGACGCGCTGCGATCCGGAAGATGAATGCAGCAGCTATTTATAGATCGGAGCGCATCTCCGATGCTGAGTGTTGGCTGCGGGTGGAAAGAACACGCAGGATCTCCTGGAATGGGGGAGGGGGGGCTGCAAAAACCATCGTCCAACTGATCCTATAGTCATACTCCAGATCACAGCCTCAGTCTTTCACAGGTGTACCGGCTCCTCCCCTCCAGTCTTGCACAGGTGTACCGGCTCCTCCCCTCCAGTCTTGCACAGGTGTACCGGCTCCTCCCCTTCAGTCTTGCACAGGTGTACCGGCTCCTCCCCTCCAGTCTTGCACAGGTGTACCGGCTCCTCCCCTCCAGTCTTGCACAGATGTACCGGCTCCTCCCCTCAGTCTTGCACAGGTGTACCGGCTCCTCCCCTCCAGTCTTGCACAGGTGTACCGGCTCCTCCCCTCCAGTCTTGCACAGGTGTACCGGCTCCTCCCCTCCAGTCTTGCACAGATGTACTGGCTCCTCCCCTCAGTCTTGCACAGGTGTAGTGGCTCCTCCCCTTCAGTCTTGCACAGGTGTACCGGCTCCTCCCCTTCAGTCTTGCACAGGTGTACCGGCTCCTCCCCTTCAGTCTTGCACAGGTGTACCTGCTCCTCCCCTCCAGTCTTGCACAGGTGTACCGGCTCGGCTCTTCCCCTTCAGTCTTGCACAGGTGTACCGGCTCTTCCCCTTCAGTCTTGCACAGGTGTATCGGCTCCTCCCCTTCAGTCTTGCACAGGTGTACCGGCTCCTCCCCTTCAGTCTTGCACAGGTATACCAGCTCCTCCCCTTCAGTCTTGCTCAGGTGTACCGGGTCCTCCCCTCCAGTCTTGCTCAGGTGTATCGGCTCCTCCCCCCTCCAGTCTTGCACAGGTGTACCGGCTCCTCCCCTCCAGTCTTGCTCAGGTTTAGTGGCTCCTCCCATTCAGTCTTGCACAGGTTTATCGGCTCCTCCTCTTCAGTCTTACACAGGTGTACAGGCTCCTCCCCTCCAGTCTTGCACAGGTGTACCGGCTCCTCCCCTCCAGTCTTGCTCAGGTGTACCGGCTCCTCCCCTTCAGTCTTGCACAGGTTTATCAGCTCCTCCTCTTCAGTCTTGCGCAGGTGTACCGACTCTTCCCCTTCAGTCTTGCACAGGTATATCAACTCCTCCCCTTCAGACTTTCAAGACTTTGATTGGGGTGTGTTCATTTTTGCAACATGGCCTGGGATCAATTTGTTAGGAAAAATACTTTTTTGTGTGCGCAAATGAACAAATCTTGTCTGCAATCAATGGCCGGCATTGGTGGGAGGAGTTTGTGGGGGTGGAGTCATTTATGAGGACTGTGTACAGATATATATATATATAATCAGCGAGCTGGAGGGTTGGTGTCACGGATGCGCACTGTAATGCTCGTTATATATGATACAAATAATAATAATAAATAGTTGCTTTAGATACAAAGTAATAATTATTAATAATAAAATAATATTTGTTACCGTGGATACATAATATTTAATGATCGGTATAATATAATAAACAACAGTTGACATAATAAAATATGAACCTATTTAAGGCGGAGCCAAAACATTTTTCCCATTTTGCACAGCGCAGGGAGGGAATCTCCGCGTTTCCTCGCCATCGACTCGCCATTTTATTTTGTATTTTTTTTTTTTTGGAGCTGGAACTTTCTGTGTACCGGTAAGGAGTTTGTCTCGCGGGCGTCGCGGTCCGCACATTTCCCCGCCGCTGCCATCTGTTTCTGTGTGACATTCTGATTGTGGAGAGTGGCGACCGCTGCATGAAATAAATCATTTACCGCCGAGCGCGGCGGTCCGTGGGGGACGCACGGCCGGGGGCTTTTTCCTTCCCGCTCGTCACTTTGTCAGTTGGCGCTCATGTATCACACTTGTGAGAGGGAACTGCGGAAAGGTGAACTGATGAAATACTGACCTGTCGCTGCGGAGGAGAGGACGCCGCAGCGGACAGATGGAGTTTGTAGGCACCTGCACCGGTATATGTCAGGGGCGGGATGGAACGCGTCCGGAGATGTACAAGGATCATCATATCGCCGCCTGCAGGCAGCCCGGCACTGGAGGGTTCCCATCGACTTCCCGCATCTCAAGGCATAGCTCTTATTGGTCAGGAAGGGTAGAATGTTGCTTGGGATTGCATTGTGTGTCATGGCCGGTTTTCTGTCTGTAACCAAAAGATATCCGTAGTGCCGGCTAGAGGTGCAAGACGTCCCTGTGTGTTATACATTGTAATGGAGATTTTACTTCGCCGAGAATTATTCCAAAATTCCACCATTTCAGGAAATGCATTGGAACCGATAGGAAAGCAGAAATGAGGGGAGACATCAGGGCGACTCAAACGGCTCCTCAGTGTTAGGAAAACTCCTTTCTGCTATCCCGGACCTAGAACACTGACACTGACCCTAACACTGACACGAACCCTGACACTGACCCTAACACTGACACGAACCCTGACACTGACCCTAACACTGACACTAACACTGACCCTAACACTAATGATAACCACAACATCGACCCTAACACTGACCACAACCCTAACACTGACCACAACCCTAACACTGACTACGACCCTAACACAACCCTGACACTGAACCTAACACCGACCACAACCCTGACACTGACCACAACCCTAACACTGACCACGACCCTAACACTAACACTGACCCTAACACTAATGATAACCACAACATCGACCCTAACACTGACCACAACCCTAACACTGACCACGACCCTAACGCAACCCTGACACTGAACCTAACACCGACCACAACCCTGACACTGACCACGACCCTAACACAACCCTGACACTGACCACAACCCTAACACTGACCACAACCCTAACACTGACACTGACCCTAACACTAACACTGACCCTAACACTAATGATAACCACAACATCGACCCTAACACTGACCACAACCCTAACACTGACCACGACCCTAACACAACCCTGACACTGAACCTAACACCGACCACAACCCTGACACTGACCACAACCCTAACACTGCCCTAACACAACCCTGACACTGAACCTAACATTGACCACAACCCTGACACTGACCACTGCCCTAACACAACCCTGACACTGAACGTGGAGGGGGGGGGACCTGCTGCTTCCTTAGCAACTATTGACAACTGTAAACATTCATCCATGCCGAATGCCTTGAACGTTTGGCATTTGTATGAAGGTCCAAACATCCAATATTCACACCAAATTAACTTTGGATCCAAACACTTAGCTCATGTCTGCTTCGTATATATGACCTTTAATGGCCCCCCAGTCTTAGTCCGTAGGGTTCAATATTGAGTTGGCCCCGCCCTTTCCACACACATGACCTTTAATGGCCTCCCAGTCTTAGTCCATAGGGTTCAATATTGAGTTGGCCCCGCCCTTTGCAGCTATAACAGCTTCAACTCTTCTGGGAAGGCCGTCCACAAGGTTTAGGAGGGTGTCTATGGGAAGGTTGGACCATTCTTCCAGAAGCACATTTGTCAGGTCAGGCACTGATGTCGGGGGAGGGGACCTGGCTCGCAGTCTCCGCTCTAATTCATCCCAAAGGTGTTCTGTGGGGTTGAGGTCAGGACTCTGTGCAGGACAGTCAAGTTCCTCCACCCCAAACTGGCTCCTCCATGTCTTCATGGACCTTGCTTTGTGCACTGGTGGGCAGTCATGTTGGAACAGGAAGGGGCCATCCCCAAACTCTTCCCACAAAGTTGGGAGCATGAAATTGTCCAAAATGTCCCCTTAAGAGTTCCCTTCACTAGAACTAGGGGGCCAAGCCCAACCCCTGAAAAAAAAACCCCACACCATAATCCCCCCTCCACCAAACTTTACACTTGGCACAATGTAGTCAGGTAAGTACCGTTCTCCTGGCCACCACCAAACCCAGACACGTCCATCGGATTGCCAGACAGAGAAGCGTGATTGGTCCCTCCAGAGAACACGTCTCCCCTGCTCTAGAGTCCAGTGGTGGCATGCTTTACACCACGGCATCCGATGCTTTGCATTGCACTTGGTGATGGAAGGCTTGGATGCAGCTGCTCGGCCATGGAAACCCATTCCATGAAGCTCTCTACGCACTGTTGTTGGGCTCATCTGAAGGCCACACCAAGTTTGGAGGTCTTTAGCTATTGACTCTGCAGACAGTTGGTGACTTCTGCGCACTGTGCGCTTCAGCATGCGCTGACCCCGCCCTGTCATGTGACGTCGCCTACCACTTGGTGGCTGAGTGGCTGTTGTTCCCAGTTGCTTCCACTTTGTTATAATCCCACTAACAGTTGAGCGTGGAATATTTAGTAGCCAGGAAATGTCACGGATGGACTTATTGCCCAGGTGGCCACCTATCACGGGACCACGCTTGGAGTCACGGAGCTCCTGAGAGCGACCCATTCTTTCACCAATGTTTGTAGAAGCCGTCTGCATGCCTAGGGGCTTGATTGTATACACCTGTGTCCATGGAGGGGATTGGAACACCTGAATCACATGATATGGAGAGGATTGGAACAACTGAATTACATGATATGGAGGGGATTGGAACACTGGAATCACATGATATGGAGGGGATTGGGACACCTGAATCACATGATATGGAGGGGATTGGAACACCTGAATCTAATGATATGGAGGGGATTGGAACACCTGAATCTAATGATATGGAGGGGATTGGAACACCTGAATCTAATGATATGGAGGGGATTGGAACACCTGAATCTAATGATATGGAGGGGATTGGAACACCTGAATCTAATGATATGGAGGGGATTGGAACACCTGAATCTAATGATATGGAGGGGATTGGAACACCTGAATCACATGATTGGGAGGGCTGGCACAGATTTTATGGCACTAATGTATCTACACTCACCAGCCCCTTTATGAGGTCCTAGTCCCGGGTTGGACCCCCTTTGACCTCCATTCTTCATGGCATAGATCCAACAAGGTGTTGGAAACGTTCCTCAGAGATTTTGCTCCATAGTGACATGATGGCATCACGCAGTTGCTGTAGATTTGTCGGCTGCACATCCATGATGGGAATCTCCGGTTCCTCCACATCCCGAAGGTCCTCTATTGGATGGAGATCTGGTGGCTGTGGAGGCCATTGGAGTCCAGTGACCTCATGGAGGTTGGAGATGATGTGAGCTTTGTGACATGGAGCATTGTCCTGCTGGGAGGAGCCATCAGAAGATGGGGACACTGGAGTCATGAAGGGATGGACATGGTCAGCAACAATACTCAGGTAGGCTGTCAGTAGAGCAACGATGTGATTGGCTGATCGGAAATTTGTGTTACCAAGTAATGGAAGAGGTGGACCTCATAAAGTGTCCGGTGAGGGTATATACTGTGTCCTCCCCTCCCCCTCTCTCTGTGTAATGAGAACTCTATTATAGAACAATGGCAGCTGCTGATTACAGGATCCGTCCCTATGGAGTGTCTGCAGATTCAGGTGAGGGAGAGACAATGGTGACACCCTTGGCGGGCTTTTTCTTTTAATGCAATGTTGAAATGTATCATCACCGGAACCAACGAGTTCAGTCTTCCCTCCGATGCCCCCTTCAGTCTTGCACAGGTGTACCGGCTCCTCCCCTTCAGTCTTGCACAGGTGTACCGGCTCCTCCCCTTCAGTCTTGCGCAGGTGTACCGGCTCCTCCCCTTCAGTCTTGCGCAGGTGTACCGGCTCCTCCCCTTCAGTCTTGCGCAGGTGTACCGGCTCCTCCCCTTCAGTCTTGCGCAGGTGTACCGGCTCCTCCCCTTCAGTCTTGCACAGGTGTATCGGCTCCTCCCCTTCAGTCTTGCACAGGCGTGCCGGCTCCTCCCCTTCAGTCTTGCACAGGCGTGCCGGCTCCTCCCCTTCAGTCTTGCGCAGGTGTACCCGCTCTCCTCCCCTTCAGTCTTGCACAGGTGTACCGGCTCCTCCCCTTCAGTCTAGCACAGGTGTGCCGGCTCCTCCCCTTCAGTCTTGTACAGTTATGGCTCCTCCCCTTCAGTCTTGCACAGTTATGGCTCCTCCCCTTCAGTCTTGTACAGTTATGGCTCCTCCCCTTCAGTCTTGCACAGTTCTGGCTCCTCCTCTGGACTGCAATGGCTTCCTCTGATGTCACTGCACACTGGGAGCTTCTCACACTGTGCATTAGAAGCTGCAGCCAGTCAGAGCTCCGCCTCCTTTCCTGGCTTGAGGATGTCCAGCAACATCTAGCAGAGGTTGGTGTCAATAGGGCAGTGGATGGTGTCGGTAGAGCAGTGGACGGTGTCGGTAGGACAGTGGACGGTGTCGGTAGGACAGTGGACGGTGTCGGTAGGACAGTGGACGGTGTCGGTAGAGCAGTGGACGGTGTCGGCAGGACAGTGGACGGTGTCGGCAGGGCAGTGGACGGTGTCGGTAGAGCAGTGGACGGTGTCGGCAGGGCAGTGGACGGTGTCGGCAGGGCAGTGGACGGTGTCGGCAGGGCAGTGGACGGTGTCGGCAGGGCAGTGGACGGTGTCGGCAGGGCAGTGGACGGTGTCGGCAGATCAGTGGGCGGTGTCAGTAGAGCAGTGGGCGGTGTCGGTAGAGCAGTGGATGGTCCTCAACCTCCATGCATGCAGTTTTAAAGTGTTTCTTCACCCCCCGCAGTACAGTCTGTAGATGCAGTGATGCATGCTTGTGTTATACTCACTGTGGGACCTAAGGGGTTAATCCTCTGCATTGTGTAAAAAGGCTGTTTGATCCCGAGGGCTCATCTGTAGAATGGGGAGGGGTTCTTTATTGTAAAAGCGGTGAAGTCATTCTACTCATCAGGACTTTGTGCTGTAAAAGAGGTTAGGTGGAAGAACAGGCAAAGGACTATAACTGAGCGGCGGGGTTGTTATGTGCGGTCTTCATTTCTGCGCCACGGGGGGTGCGGGGGTGTAAATTTCCGCCTTTAGTTCCAAATATTGAAATAAAACATTTTTACTCTCGTAAAATAAATAACTAAAAGGGACCTTATATGTGTATTTGGTTCTGGCATTCCACCACCATGGGGGGGGGGGGGGAAACTGCAGGAAGGGGACCTGCAAGGGGAGTAAAGAGTCCTGGGATCAGTGGGAAGGGCACAGGTGGGGGGTTTGGAGGGGGGGGGCCTTCATTGTTTCTTGCCCTGGGGCCCTGAAGGTTCTAGTTCCACCACTGACACGGATCGCAAAAATGAAATAAATATTTTAATTATGGTTTTTCAATGCAACCCCTTCACCCCTGTACACATCCCACAGGAGGAACTACTAGGGTTGCAAAGGTCGCACTTGCGACCGGGTTCTGGCATTCCGCCCATTTAAAAAGTGCAGCATATTTAAACACTGTGCTGGGCAGCATAGTAGCTAAATGGTTAGCACCGCCGCCTGGCAGTACTCGAGTCATTGGTTCGAATCCCAGCCACGGCACCGCCTGCCTGGAGTTTGCATGTTCTCCCTGTGCATGTGTGGGTTTCCTCTGGGTACTCCGGTTTCCTCCCACACTCCAAAGACATGCTGGGAGGTGAACTGGCTCCTGTCTAAATTGTCCCTAGTATGTGTATGTATGAATGTGAGTTAGGGACCTTAGATTGTACGCTCCTCGGGGGCGGGGACTGATGGGAATGTACAATATATATGTAAAGCGCGGAGTACATTGACGGCGATATATCAGTACCTGAAATAAACAAATAAATAATAAAATGTGCCACGCCCATGAGGTGCCATCACAAATGTCGGAGCGAGAGCAATGCATTCTGGGCCCACAACTCACCGGTAACTCTACACTGTGAACCTGTACGGGCTTTGAAGCGAATTTTCACTCTCTGGGTGTGGCGAGGAGCGGCACCATCACCCCAAATTAGGCGAAAATAGAAAAAAAAAACCCTCTTATTTTGGCGGGATTTTAACCGCGCAGGACTGAGCAAAATCACATATATATGTGATTTTGTATTTGCGGGTAGGGTGCGCACACGTGCGCGCCCGCCACCCTACCCGTGCCGCCATTGGTGGCTACAGCTGTTGATCCCCGGGTCCCGGCCGGAGAATGCCTGCCAGCACCCACCAAGGAACACTGACGGGGGAGAGGTCTGTATGTAAATAATACAGATCTCTCTCCTGCCAGCAAGGACATGCTGCTTTGTATCTCTCTGCACAGCATGTCTCCCTAGTAACACACAGCACACAGTTAACCCTTTGATCCCCCAGATGTTAACCCCTTCCTGCCCAGCGCCATTAGTACAGTGTCAGGGCTTTTTATTTTATATATACAGTTGCAAGAAAAAGTATGTGAACCCCTTGGGATTACGTGGAGTTTTGCATGAATTGGGCATAAAATGTGCTCTGAACGTCATCTAAGTCACAACAATAGAAGAACACAGTCTGCTGAACATAATACTACACAAACATTAGATGTTGCCATGGTTTAATTGCACATAACATGTAAACATTCACAGTGCAGGGAGGAAAAAGTATGTGAACCTTTGGACTTAATAACCGGTTGACCCTCCTTTGGCAGCAATAACCTCAACCAAACGTTTCCTGTAGTTGCAGATCAGACCTGCACAACGATCTGGAGTCATTTTGGACCACTCCTCTTCACAAAACTGTTTCAGTGTAGCAATATTCTTGGGATGTCTGGTGTGAATCGCTCTCTTAAGGTCATGCCACAGCATTTCAATGGGGTTGAGGTCAGGACTCTGACTGGGCCACTCCAGAAGGCGTATTCTGTGCTGTTGCAGCCATTGGTTTGTTGAATGACTTGTATGCTTTGGGTCATTGTCCTGTTGCATCACCCATCCTCTGCGGAGCTTCAGTTGGCAGACAGATGGTTGTACGTTTTCCTGCAAAATGTCTTGATAAACTCTGGAATTCATTTTCCCATCAATGACAACAATCCGTCCAGGCCCTGAGGCAGCAAAGCAGCCCCAAACCATGATGCTCCCTCCGCCATGTTTCACAGTGGGGATGAGGTTTTGATGTTGGTGTGCTGTGCCTTTTTTTCTCCACACATAGTGTTGTGTGTTCTTCCCAAACAACTCAATCTTGGTTTCATCTGTCCACAGTATATTCTGCCAGTAGTGCTGTGGAACATCCAGGGGCTCTTTTGCAAACTTCAAACGTGCTGTAATATTCTTTTTGGACAGCAATGGCTTCCTCCGTGGTGTCCTCCCATGTACTCCATTCTTGTTTAATGTTTTCCTTATTGTAGATGTGTCAACAAAAATGTTAGCATGTGCCAGAGATTTCTGTAGGTCTTTAGCTGACACTCTGGGATTCTTCTTTACCTCATGCAGCATTCTGCGCTGTGCTCTTGCAGTCATTTTTACAGGACGACCACGCCTAGGGAGAGTAGCAACAGTGCTAAACTTTCTCCATTTGTAGACAGTCTGTCTTACCGTGGACACAGGAACATCAAGGCTCAAGGAGATACTTTTGTAACCCTTTCCAGCTTCATGCAAGTCAACAATTCTTGATCGTAGGTCTTCTGAGAGCTCTTTTCTGCGAGGCATGGTTTACATCAGACAGTGCTTCTTGAAGCCAGTAAACCCAAAACAGGTGTCAGCAACACATCCAATATCATCACACTGATTGGAGTCAAGGTTGGCTCACTCCTGGCTCCAATTAGCTCTGGGAGAAGTCATTAAGCTAGGGCCTCACATACTTTTTCCTTCCTGCACTGTGAATGTTTACATGTTATGTGCAATTAAACCATGGCAACATCTAATGTTTGTGTAGTATTATGTTCAGCAGACTGTGTTCTTCTATTGTTGTGACTTAGATGATGTTCAAAGCACATTTTATGCCCAAATTCATGCAAAACTCCACATAATCCCAAGGGGTTCACATACTTTTTCTTGCAACTGTATATATGTTTTTGCTGTTCCGGTGAGGGGGGGGCGCGTGCGTGCCCTACCCGCGCCACCATTCACGGCCTCGGCTGTCAATCACCGGGTGAGATCTCTCCCCTGTCAGCTCCTGCTCACTGCTTTATATGGTTCTGCATAGCAGAATGCTCGTAGTGAAACGCACACAGGTAACCCTTTGATCGCCCCTGACAAGGGGCGGACTGACAATTCATAGGGCCCCTGGGCAATAGGGGATCATGGGGCCCCTGTGTCCTTGCCTAAACAAAAAAGCCTATGAAAAAGGTACCAGGGGCATCTCATGGGGCCCCCTACTGACCCCGAGTTTCCAAATGGTCAGTCTGCCCCTGATATTACCCTCTTCCTGCCCAGTGCTATTAGTACAGTGTCGTGGCTTTTTTTTTGGCACTGATCACTGTATTGGTGTCACTGGGGATGTCAGTGACACCAAGTCAGTCCCCCCCCCCCCCCCCCCAGTGTCAGAATACCCGCCGCAGTCCCACTGATCGCCATTACTAGTATTAAAAAAAAAATCCCAATATCTATCCCGCCATTTGTAGGCGCTATAACTTTCACGTAAACCGATTAATTTACACGTATCGGGATTTTTGGGGGTTTTTTTTGTTGCAGAATACATTTTGGTCTAAATTTATGATGAAATTTGATTTTTTTAAATTTTTTTACTAGATATGTTTTATAGCAAAAAAATCTAAAATTTTTTTTTCAAAATTGTCGATTTTTTTTTTATAGCGCAAAAAATAAAACCCGCAGAGCCGATCAAATACCGCCGAAAGTTCCATTTAGGGGAAAAATAAGACGTAAAGTTTACTTGGGTGCAGCATTGCACGACCGCGCAATTGTCAGTTAAAGTAACGCATCGCCGTATCTCAAAAAGTGGCCTGGTCAGGGGGGGGGGGGGGGGGGGGGGGGGGTTATCCTCTGGAGGGCAAGAGGTTAACCGATGTAAACAGATGATCGTCCGTTCACATCCTCTAGTCCATAGAAATACACGGGGGTCCATTTTTCATTCTTTTTTTATAGCAGAAAACATTTTGGCCTTTATGACGAAATTTAATTTTTAAAAATTTTTTACTAGATATTTTTTATAGCCAAAAGTGAAAAATTTAT